GCAGTAATGAGTTGCCAGTAGTTCCTTGGCTAGGGTTGAGGTCTGCTGCCCATTTCCCCGGTTCTATGCTTGGTTTTTGTCTGATTGAGTCATAGTGGGTCTTGTGCATGTGCATTCTGTCACCATTGTTACAAGGTCATATAAGAAAGTTCCCAGAAGCCTGAGAGCCTCTGCCCCTAGCAGTATCTTATCTTTGAATATTTATTTATGGAAAATAAGCAAAGTATTTTCCTGGAAGAAATTGACTCCTATGTGGCACAGTATTTTAATGGTTTGTTTAGAGGAAAATTTAATTAAAATGCCCTTAAATTTGTAGAGGTGAGGAATTAACTCCAATGTCAAATGTCACATTCTCTGAAACTAGATCTGTGTGGTGTCTACTCAGGAGTTACATAGAACCTGTCTTCTTTGTCCCATACAGTTATCTGCACAAATACTTAAACTCTACTGTGCCCATCACTTGTTTTTTGTTTGTTTGTTTTTTTCCCCTTATTTTCTGAATATATGTGCTTTTCAAACAATTCCATCTGAAGTATGGCTTCCAGGTCCTTCATTCTTTCCATCTATTTCCATTTTAGTTTGTGACAGGCTTAAATTTATCAGTCTTCTAAATTCTAATACTCTTCTAATAGTCTAGGTATGTTGTGATAAGATCTAACACAATAGGACTTGTTTCTCTTTTTTTGATTGTATTTTCACTTGATAAATGTGGCACACTAAAGTATATGTTTTAGTGGCCATTACTTTATTGACTTATGTTTGACACTTTTTCGGAAAAAAAAATACACCTTTGGGGCTGGAAAGAGATCAGCACTTAAGAGCATTTGCTGTTCTATATTACAGCGGAGTTCCAGAGAATCTGATGTCTTCTTCTGGTCTCTACAGGCACCAGACACCCACGTGGTACATGTACAGATATGTAGGCAGTCATATACATAAAATAAATCCTGAGAAAATATAAACCTTTACGATCCCAGCTGTTATTTTTTTATGCTGATGACAGAACTCGGGGCATTGCCCATGCTGTACAGTGCTCTTTATTGAGCCACATTGCGAGCCCAACACCTTTGTCTTATTTTAGGATTGTTGCTTTTTGTACTTGTCATTAGGACCTTTCTTGGTTTGTTGTTCAATTTCACTTTGTTGATATTGACCTGCTATTAAGGTGACTTTCTGTTTTGTCTCTTGCTGTGTATTATATTAGCCAGCCTTCTATCTAGGTTTTACTACCACTAGATTTGAAAGACATGGATTTTTGTACGTATAGATTTTTTTCCACAGGTGTTTTTGTGGATGAAGTCAAATTGCATGCTTAATTTCCTCCTGATCGATCTCGTTCAGTGCTTGCTGCATATTAAGACTGACAGGTGAGCAGGCAACATCTCGGTCAGCAGTGTTCTCAGTTCACGTACTTCTTCTACTCTGAGGCTATCTTCCAGCCTTGTCCATTATCAGTAGGTTCTTTCTGAAGTCTTATTGCAGTCTAGACTCTTCTCCATCTTGTCATATTCCCTAGGCGTAATTGAATACCAGTACAGACTTTTTCTACCATGTCCTTGACTTTTTTATTGACCTCACACTCTGATGTACTCCATACCTTAAACAGACCGTCATCCCTTCTCCTCCAGCTCAGTTTCCTACCTCCCTTCAGGTTCCGGTGTGATCAGAGTCAGAGGGCGCATGCTGGAGCACATGCTTGATCATGCCATTCCTTTCCTTATTTTTTCATAAATTCATCAGAAAAGGCACACTCCTTAGCTTTATCTATAAGTTCCATCATAAACTAGCCAAACCTTGTCTACCTTTGATAAGTAGATGAATAAAATCTAGTTCTACTTCAGATATTTCAGTTTAATATTTCTAGAATAGTTTTGAAGACTACATATCAGTTGGTTTATAGCAGCTTTTTTGAAAGATGTTATGAAGTGCTATAATCCTTAAATCTGGACTCCCTGCCAGTGTTCTTTGTAGACATCAACAAACACATTGAACATACCTGAAAAGTGATTCAAATCACAGATTAGATCCCACTCACTTTTAGGGCATGGTCTATGTTCATTTTTCTTGTTCTTCAATTTGTAGCATTTGTGTATAAAATATAATAACTTATGCTCTAGTTTTTTTTAAAAAATAAACTTTATGAGCCGGGCATGGTAGCACACGCCTGTAGTCCCAGCACTTGGGAGGCAGAGGCAGGCAGATCTCTGTGAGTTCAAGGCCAGCCTGCTCTACATAGTGAGTTCCAGGACAGGTGGGGCTACAGGGAGACCCTGCTTCAAAAAGACCAAAAAATAAAAATAATAATAATGAAACAAACTTTATGTTCTTACCCAGATATGTGCTTTTAAGGAGTTTTGAACAGTGCATTTTGAGTTCAAATTAAAAAAAGAACTGAGTAATTATTTGGAAAGGTAATAGCTGCCTAGTAGGAAAACTGGTTCTAGGGAATATTGGAAAGCAAAGTGATAGGTGAGGATGTCCTAAAAAAATAATACTGCTAGGGGCTGGAGAGATGGCTTAGCAGTTAAGAGCACTGGCTGCTCTTGCAAAGGACCTGGGTTTGAGTCCCGGTACCCACATGACAGCTAACAACTGTCTTTAAACACCAGTTCCAGGGGACTCCGACACCCTCTTCTGACTGCCTTGGGCATTCCACAACACAGGTACACTTATACACATGCAGGCAATGCACTCGTACACATAAAATGAAAATAATAAATAAAATATACAAAAATAATACAGCTAGTGAAAAGCCACTTAAAGTATGTTTCGTTCTTTGAATTTTTCAAAGTGCTTTCAGATATATATCACATATAGATAGAAATGCAAAGGGGTCATGTGCCTAGTGAAAAAATCTTCAGGCCAGAGTAGTACTGAGTTAAGATTTGACTGGCTATAAGTTCTGCCTATATAGTTCTTATAAGTATTAACAGTATGCAGAGGACAGAATGGAATCACCATTCAGGACCACAGTAGGATTACTTCACGTTTACAGCACTTTAAAAAATCCAAGCATAAACAAACCAGTTGGCTCACAGCCCACTCTAGGTCATGGTAGTAGAAGATTTGTTAATTCAGAAGGTAGCTCTCATGTTACCGTAAAATGTCTAGGCTTGGCAGTTATGGCCAAGCTTGACAACCTTGGTTTGATACCTCATGGTGGAAGGAGAGAACTGACTCCCACAAGTTGTCCTCTTACCTCCACATGCACATCCACATGTGTGCATACACATACACAAAGAATAAATGACTAAATGTAATAAAGCCCCCAAAGAGATCTCAAAGCCCCTGTGAAATGGCCTGTGCAGGGAAGGAAACCTTGCCTTTTGTTGTATGTTCCTTAGGAGGTCTCTACTTGGGAAGACCTGAGAATAAGAAAATCTTTAAAATCCTAGTGCCAGGACAGGATAAAGGGTAAAAGAAACAATAGGGAGATATGGTTTAGTGTCCTTGTATAGTTCAAATTATATTTTCTCAGAGACATAGTATTAAAGGCTTACTATCATTATCAATAACTACTTTTATGTCTGTTTTATAACTTTCATGTATTTCACTATACAATTTTCATTAGCGTATATTATATAAATAGATTTTATTACATTTCCATGCATGCATATAATGTACCCCAGCCATTGCTCTTACTGCCCCTCCCCTTCCCTCTTCTGTAGCCGTATAGTCCACTTTTCACTGACATATCCTTCACCCAGCTCAAAGTCCATGTATGAGAGAAAACACATCTACTTGTCTTTGTGAGACTGACTTATTTCATTTAACACGATGATCTCCAGTTCCGTCCATTTTCCTGCTAGCAATGGAATTTGATTCTTATTTATTGCTGAATAAACCATATTGTGCACTTACACCACATTTTCTTTATATTTATACCAATTTTCTTTATCCATTCATCCACTGATTGTTACATAGGTGGTTCTATAACTTTGGTGACTAATGCATTGATAAACATTACTATAGCAATTCGCTCTATACTTGATAACCAAGAAACTCAGGTAGAACAGGAATGCATAGCATTACCTACATGTAATCCCCACACTGGAAGACAGGGCAGGAGGACTGAGTTTTACACCAGCCTGGACTACACAGGGCGATGAAAGTTGGGGGAGAGGGATAGCATAGCAGGTACTCATATCATTATTTCACTAAATACTTACTGTATGTCAGGCACTCTTTTAAATGCATAGGGTACATTAATAAACAAAGCAAATACTCCCCTCTCCAGGGGGTTTTATGTTATAGTGAGATAAATAAGAAAGATGTAAACAGTGGTCATTAAGTTCTATTATATGTGGAAGGTGATAAGCTATGGGGCCAAAAGAGCAGTCAAGGTGAAATTATTTGGCAGTGATATGGAGCATATGGACCAAGGCATTTAATCCAGCAAGATACTAAAAAGGTAAGAGTTGATATACTCAAGGCAGGTGAGGCAGTGCACCATGGTAAGACCAGACAGAACAGAGGTCCAAAGGCCATGTGCTTGGTGGGTTTAAGGAACAGCAAGGTGGCAAGTGTGTTTGCAGTGGAATGGGGTGCCAGGAGAATGCCACGGAATCTCTGCTTAAAGGCAAACCAGATTCTCATGGTTTAAAAGATCACTTGTAATGACTGAAGGTTCTATGTCCAGCAGTTGCTTCAGTGAAAACTTTTCCTTGTATTTCTAGGAGTGAAGTGGAAGATTTAAACAAATACGTGAACTATCTTGATTTTAATGTACATTTAGTTTTTATTCAGACATCTTTATTGCATTAATCTCACCTAGTCTCTTATCTTCACACAGTTTTTACTGAAAGAGAAGATACAGCTTTGTAACTGTGATTTTTATTCTCTACTATGTTTTAAGGTATTAACTAAATGGAAACCTAAACTTAGGTTTTGCTTTCAAGGATGACAGTAATCAATAACTTATTTACTACTAATTTCAAAAGAATATTTTTAAGAAATATTTTATGCTTATAATTTCATTGTACACTCTCACCTTTTTTAAGATACGGGCACAGTGCAGGTGAAGCCACACACGATGCAATGGATTCCGCCATCAACGTCGGTGTCACCGCCTATAATATTGACCACCTTGGCATCAAAGCAATGGTGAAGAAAACAGCAAAGCAGACAGGACACACACTTCTGGAGGACTATCAGGTCATTGATAGTTCTCATAAGGAAAGTCAAGAAGGAGTGTCAGGCACAAACATGAGCAAAGAGAAGGATAAGCAGACAGAGGAAGAAGAGAAGAAAGGGGCAAAGAAGAAAGACAAGTAGTGGAAGTGCTGGGATCACTATATCAGAGCCTTACCGGAAGTGCTGGGATCACTACGGCAGAACCTTACCAGATGGAGGAAATGCTCAGTGGACGGATGTGGACTTCTCCACAGAGTGATCAGTATTTTCAGTATATTTATTCCTACAAAGTGACTGTCATAAATTTTGGGATATGTATTCCACTTACAAGGAAAATAATCAGTATTCTTACATCTGGCCTCTAGAATATGCAGTTATATCTCAGCAACTTTATTTTTTCCATAAATGAGGGGAAAATATTTTGCAGTTAAAATAACACTTATAATATATGTGCTTTAAACCTAATGTTAAACTATTTTTATATGTGTTAGCTTTCAGAAAACAAAGTAGGAAATTATATATATATATATATATATATAT